AATTAATTTGTTGGATTTGCTGTACCTTTTGTGACTGTGACAGCTGCAAGTCACACTCCTTTATCATCCTGTAGCCTGTTTAGAACATAAAAGATACTTTCTAGATTTAACTGTTGGCTTTCCTCTGGCATTTTGAGGAATATTATACAATTAGAATTTGTTCTGTTTCCCTCAAAAGGACAATATAAGAGAAGATTGCTGAAAGTTTCCACACATAGTACCTAAACATGGGTGCAAATATATTTAGAAAATGTTTTCCTTCCAATGCTTAATCAATAATCAAAATATTGTTTTGCAAACATTAATGGAAAAGTTCAGTAGTATTTTGCCAAGTATATGTTCAAAATATACCTGATCTCTGGTTTGTAGCCAAAAATCGAAGAAAGAGTATTTGTCATATTCCTTTTCAAAGAATTTTTTATTTTTCATTGTTTACTGAGGTTCACATCAACTTAAAGACAATAAAGTTTTCTCAAAAGTTAAACGTTCGGTTTGAAATTTTTTTTTGGAAAAAAAAGAGAAACTTGCATTCAGAAAAAACATTAGTTTAAAAACTGTCAGTTTGATTTCATAGTTGACTATATTCCTTTAAAATGAAAACAAAAATAGCTGTAAAGAAGAGAAAACAAAAGAAAATTTTGTAAAAATTAATTTTATCTGGCTTATTGTGTTTATTGATTCCTATGTTGTTATGACTATATTTTACATCTTCAGTTATGTGGAAAGTGACTTTTCAGCCAGTTCAACCATATTGGAATAGAGTTTGAATAAGCCTCTGAAAAACTGGAGAAACAATAGAGAAGCCCATGACATTTTGTTGGGATTATGTGTCCTTATATTTGCTGTTATCTCCGTATGTTTACTATTTACATAATGGTTTTGGACATAATAGATAACACTGTTACGAGTAAGTGAAATTGTTTTAGCTTGAACATCTGTTTGTTCATCTTGCTGTGAACAGATTACCGTTGGGTGATTTCTGTGCTGTTCAAGTGAGTCTGATAATGATAATACAGTGCTTGAAGGCTTCTGGTAACTTTTAGAGTCAGATCTCTAGTTCACTCATTTGACAAAAAGTAAGGAAGCCTAGACTCTTTTGTTGATATGCTTATATCAGATATATGTTACTAACTAGCTGCCTAAAAAGTTCATTGATTTTTCTTTTGAATAGTTAGTGATGGGCCAAAAGAAAGTTTTTACTTTTTCCCAATGTTGGATAAACCTAGAGGAACACTGTCAAAGAATTTGACTTCTGTTAGAATAAAGGCAAACCAGTCTGAAACAACCTGGAGCAATAATTGGATGTAATTGTCTCCATCATTCGTGGTTAGCATAGTGAGCAGCTCTGTAGCCCTTAACAGGTACTTCTGTAGTTACTCCAGTAGGAGCAAATTATAAGAACCAGTTTGAAGGAGAATAATGTAGCAAATTTGGTTCTTTTTCTTCCAACTTTGTGTGATAGGTAGCATAAGAAGAATTTAAAAAAACATTATAGGAACATCTGTTTCAAGGGCAATAGAGTCACAGTGGACAATGAGTGAGAGGAATGAAGGGTAGACTCTTGACAGACAGTAATTGGTAAATAGTTTGGTCTGGGAATAGTATTACATGTGGTTGAAGGACAAATGGTGGAAATGTGACACCTTGTAACAGTGAATGAGTGAAAAATATCTGCATATATAAGGCTGGCAGCTGGTGGATATTGACCCGATGATGTGCAATGTGAGGATTTTGTTGATTGAGGTGCTTGCTTTATTCCCTGGGTTTTTTTAGTCTGTTTAGACAGTTCTTACCATCAACCTTTTCCCTGAAGGCCTTATGAAATATTACTATTTTTGTTGTAGTTGTTAGCATAACATCTTGTACACACCTCCTTTCACAAAATCCCTTTTTAAAAAAAAAAAAAATCAATTTTTTGCAACAGACTCTAAGAACTCACTGTTTCCTGGGGGTCCAGTGGCTGCAGTAGTTTTAATAAGTTTCTGAATTTTTAAACATTCATAAGGTCTGTCTTGTAAGTCATTTGTAGGTTCCACCTGAAATGCAATATTAATGTATTTTCTTTTTGTTTTGTGTGGCCCTGTGGCATTTTTGTCATAAGAACATATAGAAAAATCATTCAGACTAAACAATACCAGCGTCTTGTTTACTACATGTTGTTACATTTTGTTAAGTTTCATACAATTTCATGTGTCTAGGCTTAGCAGGTATTACTTTGGAAGCAGGTATCCTATTTTACATTTTCTCCACTTTGAATTGTCTGGGAGTTTCACTTTCCAGTTCCTCACTATTGTAAGGGTATAAGAAAGACATTGGAATAGTGCCCTGGATTCCTTTCTTCTGCCTTTCCATGACTTCTGATACTCATGGCCTTTATCTTTTACTATATGGCCTTACATTTGACTAAGCTATTATGACTCATCTCTGGCATGTAAGACCATGGAGAACACTGTGTTTGTGACTGTGTGTAACATTAAGGACGGGGCTCAGTTGCTTAAATGATCCAGTTCCTAAAATAAATTAGATATGACAATAAATTATGACTTCCTGAATGCTTTTTTATAATTTGTCTGCACAGGTGACTTGATGTTGCTATGCTCACTTTCACTAGGCTGAGGTATTTGTACAGTAAAATGGTATATATTTGTACAGTGAAACGCTATTTGCACAGTAACATCTATGGTGCAGAAATGATTTTTTTTTTCCCTTTGCCTAAAATGTACTGGGAAATAAAACTCCAAGGATATGGCAAGGGGTAAAACAAATTTTTGTTTATACTACTTATATAATAATTTTAGTAGTATGTTTATATATTGTTATATATTTCCACAATGTATACTACTGTTGTATTTAATAATGCATACAGGATTAAATTTTAAACATTAGGTTCAGATTCTGCTGAACAATTACAAAATAACTTCCTTAAATGTAGCGATGGACAAATATTTCCACATAGTTATTATTCAGAGATAAGTACTGTAATGCAAATCAAAATAATAGTCTTTTTTGACATTTGCTGATACGTTTAAGGAGTGAGGGAGCTGTGTGTGTCTATTTTTTCTTTCTGAAAACAAAACAGACATTCTTACTGAGTTATATAAAAAAGTGTTGGCTGGACCTACTTGACCAAAATCTTGTTTTTAACGAAGAGGTAAATAGCTGTATTACAGCTTGTTTTATCTTCTGTTCTAATACATATTCAGTCAATTATTGTAGGGTGTCACTGATCTCAATGTTGCTGCAGGCAGAAAATGGTATTGGAAGAGTGACTTTTGGCTATTTATATATTTAATGGATGAATTCTGTTTGTTTGTTTCATCCTATTACATGCTGTTGAAGGACAAATGGAGATTAGGAAGGAAGAAAAAATAAGGTCCCTTTCACTAGATAATCATAAAGAAGATCAACTGTTTGCATGGCCTGTAAGACTTCTACAAACCTTTGTAATGCTGATTATCTAAGATGTTTCTTAATATTCTCGGAATTATTTTCTATTTAGGAATATAAAAATTCCTTAGTTAATGAAAGTATTATTGAGTGAAATGAAGAAAAATCCATAATCTTCACAGTTTCTTAATAGATCAAATAGGTTAACTTGATATCAAGTCAATAAAAATTTGGTCTCCATTGCACCAAAATAGCTTGCTTAATGGCACTGTATTCAGCTTTCAATTTCATTGGGTTTAATCACTCCATTAAGGAGAAGAAATATCTGATCAAATAAGAATGCAGCATTGCACTTTTCGAAGGGCTAATATATTTTCAATATCTGTTGATTTTAAGCCATTAAGAAGTTAAAAGAGACAGAGAAGGGAGTATCCTTCAGATGTGTTTCTTCCACAATAAATAAGCAAATACAGACCCTATGACATCCTGCTTTTGTTCTGAAATTATTTCATCTCAGCAATGTTTCAAAATCACAGTGTTTGTTTACTATATAGATTTGTGTAATCTAAAGATTGAAAGAAAAATGAGGCATCTTAAAATATCTTGGGATGCCTACTTTGTTTTGTGATAGCTGAAGTATGATTTCTGTTACAGTTGGCTAGTTGCTCAGGTTTCTTTTTACCAGACTTTTCCAAGCTATCAGAAAACTCAGTAAATTGGATGGGGGGTGTGCTAGTTTTTACTGACACTTTGTCAGCCTTCAGCCTGACAGCTTTAATGGAGATTAGGTGACCCTCAATACAACACACAGTGGTTTGTCATCAAATGATTTGTCTTCAGAAATGGATAGTGCTTAAAAATGATTTTTTAAATAACTTTTTACACTTTATCCATTGCAGTTACAGATCTGATGATGCAATTATGATTCAAAACTAAGAACTGTAAAACAAATAAATTCAGTTTTTGAAACTAATTTTATGTGTTTGGATGGATTAGTTGTTTTTAGAATAAGGTAATTCAAGCTGAGACAAAATAGTAGTTCATCTTTCTAGAACAAAATATCATTAGTTCAGCTCAAAAATAAAACAAATTTTCTCTTAAACATGACAACTGTAGGAAGTAGCACTTTTGAGCAAGCAAATAGGTCTGTAACTTGATCCTCTCCTTGTGAGCACAAACACTTCAGACTGTGTTAAATGTATGGAGAATACTGCAGCATAGAATTACAGTTGGCTGTGCTGTCATCAGAGAAATTTCAAGCCTGGAACTGATGGCCAGAACAGGCAGGCAAGCAACAACATAGTTGTAAAAACTGGTTTATTTCTTAAAAATAAATACAAAAATATAAATATAAAACATTGGCAGATAGAATTTGATGAAATGAAGTTGCACAAACTGTTTTTAAACCAGCTGCATATTACACTTTAACACCACGTGTACATTTTGTTTTAATTTTAATGTACAGAACAGGACATACTGGATTTTTTCTTCTTTGCCATCTTAAAAGCTGCACTTGCAAGGATAGGACATGTACCTAACAGAAGCGGATTGTACATGAGGTTGCTTAAGGGATTATCACCCCCTTCAAATTTCTGAAGGTAAGATATTGTTTATTTTACTTACTAAAATGGACAACACTGAATTTCCATAGCTTTGGCTCTTGGAAGGTGATTAAATAAAATGCTGTATATATTCCAAGTGGCATCTTACTAGAAAGAATGAATGACATTAATGGACAAATTTAAAACAAATTTTAAAAGGAAACCATTGTGCTGAGTGGCAGGAAAATTTTCCTGAATGTTAAATACTGTTTAGTGCAGAAGGTGTCTGTAAAATTACTTCCGCTCAAAGGAAACAAAAATGTAGCCTACTGTAGGTTAAGAAGTGTCTTTGTCACTTTCTCCTCCACCATACATTTCAGCTAGCTTATTAAACCGAGGCCCCCATTCTCGGAGGTAATCATAGTTTTGGTCTCCTTCTGTAGTACCCGACTCTAAGGAGCTCAAAGATTCAGCTATTGAATCATTCCCTTCATAGGCATAGGTTGCAAGCGAGTCATACGGCGGTGCAGAAGGATCAGTATCGTGCTCTTTTAGCCTTTGGTTAATGAAATCTCGGACATCTGTGTTATCTGGTGCTGAAGGAGTCCTCCGTGGTACAAATAACGTTTCAGGGATAATGTCTCGTCGAAGCTTCTTATCTTCGATAGCTGCAGGATTCCTCAGTGTGCCAATATCAAAGGCTTGGGTGTCTTCCTCTCCACCGCCTTCATCGTTGTAACTCACAATGTTGTCTCTGATGTCCTCTTTAGAGAGGATCAAAGGCTCCTTCTTTCGTTGCCTCTTCAGAGCAGCAAACAGCACCACTATAACTTAAAGAGAGAAACAAAGAATGGGTAAAGATCTTTATTTAATAATTTCTTAGTAGCAAATCCATCAGGTACAAGAGCTTTATTTCAGCTACATTTCAGCAATTCATTTCTGTCTGATAAATGGATAAACATCTCTATCTGTATTACGGTAGCGCAGTAAGGTCTACATCAAAAAGTGCTATTTTGCACACACACTGCTCTGCTTTACAGAACCATGAGTTTGTCTATATGTTCCTTCTGTAACTTCAGTGAGTTTTAAAATGGCTAGGTCTATTCTGAAGATCTTTTCCCTTTTTTAAGTTCAAAGTATACTGTTAAAAACTGGTTTTGAGGTGAATTATAGCTCATTAAGTGATATTCTGAAAACCTCAAAATGGAGCGTTTACAAAATTTACATTTTTTTTATTACAGCACAGAAACCTCTGGATAGACAGTGCTTTAATATAGTAAAAATACTATTTACTGGCTTGTTCTATGTAAAATATGTACTGCATGTTGACTTTAGATAGTTATTTAAATAAAAAAGAGACATTCTGTCAAAAAATTTAAAATGAAAGACATGAAAGTGATTTTTGATTATGCTATTCCTCCTCTCTGATCTTCTTTTTTGGACAACTTAACGAAAAAACAAAAATGAGCTTCTCGTTGCACACTGATAGTTTTAAAAGTCTGTGACTTGAATTCTTATTTACAATGTCCAATTCCCAGACAAACAGGTTTTGCTATTTTTTTTTCTTTTTGTTTTAAGTTGCAGTTAAATTCTTCTTGCAAAATCCATGATCATTAATTTTACCAATCTACACAGCTTTGTAAAATGAGTCAGGCCTGAAGCATTTGTTCACGGGGGGAAAGATGCATTTCTTTTTCTTTGTCTTACCTAGCAGGATAACGATGCACAGGAGAATGGCAACCAGTGCCCCCGTGCTGAGGCCGGCAGGGAGGAGCAAGGCCTCAGCGTTGCAGGACTGCATGTTCCCCTGGCTGTCACAGGCACACACTCGAATGGTCAGCGTGCCAGTGCTGCTCTGGATCGGGTAGTCATTGTCTGATATCACCACTGGTAGAAGGTAAGTACTTATTTCATGTCGACTAAAGCCATTCCTTCTTGTCAAAATTCTGGCAGTGTTATCTAGATTGATTAAAATATACTGTTGTATAGTATATGAATATAAAAAGTGTATCATTTATAGTACATGCAAACCATCATATTTTACATCACTGGTAGCATTTTGAAACTGTTCTTGATATCATAGTGATATCTCTCTTTTCCTAATGACATTTCCATTTGATCAGAAAGCTATTTATAATTTTTTTATGTACATCTGGCCTGCTCCCCTGTGCAACACCTTTGAGTGTGATTTGAAAAGAGGATTTCTCAAAGCTTAAAGTGTTTTATAGATTAATGCATGCAGTGCATGACACAGTTCTAGTTCAGGGCTAAAGCCCTGAAATGAAGTGGCCAACTGAGAAAAAATAACCTTCCACTTCATGCTGTTCAACAAGTATTCTGTTTTGAAAGATTCTTTCCATGGATCTTCTGTGACAACACCCACGGGAATGCTATCTGTAAACTCTGTATGAGATTTTCCACACCAAAACACTTTCAACAAGCTGTAGAACAATGAATTATGTACCTTAGCACATGAAGTAGATTTTTTTTGGAAAAATTGTCTTAGGAATTCAGAAAATGTGAAAGACAGTAGCTATTCCTCCACAGTTTTGAGAAGTGAATTTACTAAACTGTATTTGCTACTGTATTGTAGTAGACAAATCTTAGCTGCATGCAGTATACTTCAGCATCAAAAGCTGTTCACTGAGTGGCCAGAGGGAAGGAAAGGAAGGGAAGGAATGAATAACAGGGAGAGACTATTTCTTCTGTTGTTAGGGCCACAACACTGGAGTGAAAGCCAACAGTAGAGTTGCTAACTTTTTAGTCCAAAAGAGAGAAAATACAGATTTAGTCTCCATTAGAAGGAAAATTTAATTTTCATCATACTTGTGGATCTCTTGAGGTAGGTGGTTAGCTATCTTGCCAACTTCCGGCTGAATTAAAATAACCCATGTGCGAAAAGAAAGAAAATAATTACAGATAGAAAAGAAATAACAAGGTCTATACCTCTGTACACTCAGGACCTAGTCACCAGGATATAATCTTTGTTTAAAATATTAAATTATATATTTTTTTCATAGCCTCTCTGATGTGAAAAACAAAGTTTTCCTTTATTGCATCCCTTCATTGGTTTTGGGTATTTGTATGCTATTTGTTTTCACTCAACATCAAAAACTATGTGTCTTATGGATCTTTAAATACCTCTGCTGCTGGGGTTTTTATAAAGTACCCAAACAATTTGATTTCTATTCTTAAAAAAAGAATTTTTTTCTCTATCATCTAACCTAAAATTCCTTATATTGTTTGCAGCCTATTACTTCCTGAAATTTTCATCAGGAAAAGGGGATTATTCCCATTGCCTTTATGCCTTTAACACATTTGAAGGCTGGTACCATGTTCCCCCTCATTTATTTCTTCTGTAATCTAGAGCCCTCTCAGTTAGTCATATTGATAATGAAGGCCAAAATGGGTGCATAGTCCCCCTTCCTCAAGAAAGTCCTTTGAAAATTTTCTCTGCTAAAGAAAGATTGATAAAGGACCAAAAGAAAAGCCAAAGTGGCTTTGCGTTCAGAGCCATTATTTTCATTACTGGTCAGAAAGAGGCAAAACAGAAGACCAGGGGATTCAGAACTATATGACAGAAGGCTAAAGTGAAAAATCTGAACTTGACAGCTGAAGCCATTTTTTAAACCTTTTTTTCGTCCTTCAGTCAAGCATTTCACCGGCTACTCACCCCAAACGAATGCTTTTACTGATTTTCTTTATAATTTGTTTTATCCCATTTTTGCCATGATAATTTTTGCCTCCCTTACACAGATGAAAATGCAGAAGTCCTACACCACAAACATTCAGGTAAAATTATTATTATTGCTAGCAGCCGCTTCAACAGCTTCTCTACATGTTGATAGACATCCAAAGCAAATATATTTCAGGAATGTATGCCAGACAGCAAAGATAAAATTCCTTCCTTGGAACAGGCATGAATTTTACCTTCATTATCCTGAACAGTGAAGTTAGGGTTAACAGCAGCTAAACTGAAGAAAAATTTTTGTCCACCAAGAGGGTCATCTTTGTCTACTGCACTTATGGTTTGAATAAGCTGCAGGAAAAAAAAACAAGCAAACAAACAACAAAAAAACCCAAATGCACCCAGGTTTTTGATACACCTGTCTGATTACTTCAAGTGTTAAGACAACTTCATATTCAAACTCTACACATATTGACTTAATACTTAATCTGTAGAACACATTAACTGAACAAATGTTAAACAAGTGCATCATAGAAGTTTTTCCAACAAGAGCATCTATACATGTTTCATGTCATGGTACATGTACACGTGTAAAATGGCCAGCTTCTACCTTAGTCCTCCTCTATTTCTTTTTTCAATACATATTTATATATTTTTGTAACTACAAAGAGGACTAAACGTGCCAAAAATAGCTTTATCTTTAGCCTAGGTCATTTGTATTCTTCATCTCTGCTCCATCATTTTAAAATCAAATCAACACCTAAGACAGGAATTCAGAGAATATTTTATATTTTTGTGATAAAAATGGTATTTCATCAAATAGATGTTTCTGATAGGGAATTTAAAGTTTCAAATTAAATTTCAAAATAAAAACATTTCTTTCTAAGCCAAGATTTTTCTATTTATTAGTATAGCAAAATACACCAATAAGATTCCTGAGATGGAAAGTGTCAGATTATATATATATATTTCAACTCTTGCGAAACATTGTAGCATACTCTACAGATGCACCACCTCAAAGTGGGATGTGAATCTGCTGTCACAATTCTCAGAGTAAGCTGCATCAGGTCAGTTCAATCCTTGTATTGAGCGATTTCTCCAATGCCTACAAAAAAGTTTGGGTATTTTGGGGGGAAGTAATGGCAAGCCCTTTATCAACATTTGTTTCTCTGTCAGATAAATGAATTTGTAGCTTTTTTCACTAAAGCTTTTTTCACTGAAGCTTGACCCACATAAGGGTGGCAAAATGTCATTTCCCAAACAAAATACAATTTTTGACATCTTTATTGCTTTATTGCAGAGTGTTTTTTTTAATACTGTAGCAATAAAAACTGTACCTATGGCTGAATTTGTGTGTGCGCATACGTGAATGTTCAGTTATGTTCTTAAGTTTAACTTCCAAAAATAGGTTAATCTTTAGCCTAGGTCTTTTTTATTCTTTGTGTCTGATCCATCATTTTAAATTACAGTGTTTTTTCAAGCATGGAATTACATCTAATTTTTGACACTACTCATTCCCTGTGGCATACTTGTTAAACCCTGTTTGTTTTTCCTCTTCCAGTTCTTCCAAATACAGCCATTTCTCTTCATCTCACAGCTTTTGTCAGGACTGATTGTCTTCAACATCAACAATTGCAATGTACTCCTGTTTGCCTTAACAAATGCGTGATTAACTCCCAACTTCTCTCTTGTCCATCCAGAATAAAGCAACAAATTTCTTCATGAGACAGGGATTGGATTTCTTTTAATACAGCAGCTTGCTTGCTTTCTCAACTGGAGTTTTGTCTTTCTCTAAATTTGTTTTCTCACATAAAACTCCAATAACTTACTGGATGAACAAAACAGATAATACAAGCATAGAATATTATTTGTTTTTAAAGAATGAGCCTTTTAATTATTTAGTGAGTAATTAGCAAATAAATCGTTAGAGATTTTTGCAAAATTAAGTCAAGAAAACACTAGTCCATTTTACTTCACAAGTGGAGATCATGAATGCAGTCAGTTGTTGGTGTTAAGTTGATGAAAATCAACTCCTCCACTTCTGAGTGTCCATACCCATAGTTTAAAAGGAGTATGTAGAATTTTTTATAGCCTAAAATCTTTTCCAGTTTACAGGGATTGTTTAGCTAATACAGCACTGCCGACCTGTGTCCCTTAGCATAACAAAAAATAGCAAGAAAATATCTCCTATTAATTCCTGCATTCATCATTTGTTAGAATCATAGAATAATTTAGGTTGGAAAAGACTTTTAAGATTACTGAGTCCAGTAATGGAGCAGTTCGTTTTGAGGGCACTCAC